GGGGAGGGGGAGGAGGGAGGGCAGCACGAGCAGAAGCCCAAATGCACACTCACAGGAAGGCACCTGCCTGGGCTGGCACAGCATGGCTGTGTAAAGCAGTGCAGGAAGAAAGGAGCAGACCGCCTGGTGCCACACACACAAAGCTGCAGGAATCTGGACGCCACCTAGGAATCCCCTCAATGCCCTGCTATTTTTTAACAGGTAAACAGCAGATATTTCTAAATAAAACTTAGGGTACTTTAGGCTACAAAAATGAGTCACTCCTGAGTTCTTTCTGGATTTAAGATAGGATTCAGTTTACAAACATAAAATTTACACACACCTTGTCAGATGTGTCTCTAACCTTTAAGCACCTATATCAAATCAAAATGAGAAAAAAGATATCGAGCTGAGCGGGCTTACAATTTTGCAATGTCAGCATGCGTACTTAGGCATTTTGTTCAAGTCCAAGGTATCCGCTCTACAGTATTTAGTGGCGCACTAAGTGGAAGCTTCAGATAAATGTTTTCTGAGGATTTACATTTGCAAAAGCGCTCCAGGGCACACACACCAAACCAGACACCCTGAAACCCTCCGCTTCTTTCCCCCAGCGTGGAGCCTAGCTCACTGCTGAATGGAGACAGCTTTCCTCAAGTGAGTCTCCTCTTTGTCTATTTCTCCTACTTGGACAAGAATCTCATAGAGAAAGCTTTTGGTTCCACTGGTGCCTACCCACCTGATAATGTAACATAAAAGTCTCCATTTGAACTCCCATGAATTTGGCCTTCACTTCAAAGTCTCCGACTTCTTCTGTTGGACTGATTTCAAAGATAACATTTTTAAACCTGTTGAAACATAACATCATAAGGGTGTGGTTTTATGTTCTCATATAAAAATATTCTGTGAAATGGGGAAATGAGATAAACCAAGTCTTCAAGGGTGAAAATGGGTAGAAAATACAAGTAGAAAGTACTTCTGCAGCGGAAGCAGCCGGGTTACCACGCCTAGGTCCCATCTGCTCTGGGACCTGGAGAGAGGAATGGCAACCTCTTTCTGCCTGCAGCACTTGCATGCTATGAAAGAGGAACCACTGCGGAGTGCCACAAGTAGCCTGACAAGGGATGACAGCACAGAAATTCTCTTCATTTCCACAAGGCCAAAAATGAAACCTAACGATAAAAGGAGAAAACAGAGGAAAGTGGGCGGAAGGAGAGGGTATGCGCGTGTGAATACACGCATGTTTGAGGACTGGGAGAAGCAAGTAAACAAAAGGGGGTCAGTGAAAAAACACCAAGGGAGGTGGTTTTTTCTTTTTTTGTTTTTTGAGACGGAGTTTCACTCTTGCTACCCAGGCTGGAGTGCAATGGCACGATCTCAGCTCACCGCAACCTCCGCCTCCTGGGTAGATGACTTGAGCTCAGGAATTTAAGACCAGCCTGGCCAATACAGTGAAACACCGTCTCTACTAAAAATACAAAAATTATCTGGGTATGGTGACAGGCACCTGTAATCCAAGCTACGCAGGAGACTGAAGCAGGAGAACCACTTGAGCTTGGGAGTGGGCGTTGCGGGGAGCTGAGATTGCGCCACTGCACTCCATCCTGGGCGACAGAGCGAATTATTTCAAAAAAGAGGCCTGTAATCCCAGCACTTTAGGAGGCTGAGGTGGGCAGATCATATGAGGTCAGGAGTTTGAGATTAGCCTGGCCAACATGGTAAAACCTAATTTCTACTAAAACCACAAAAACTTAGCTGGGTGTTGTGGTGCACGTCTGTGGTGCCACCTACTCAGGACGCTGAGGTGGGGGAATTGCTTGAACCTGGGAGGCAGAGGCTGCAGTGAGCTGAGATCACACCACTGTACTCTAGCCTGGGTGACAGAGAGACTGTCAAAAAAATAATAAAATAAAAAAATATACATATATAAAGTAGTTAGATAAACAAGTGGGTGCGCCATGGATAATCTTTCTGTGAATAGAAAAAAATATATTAAAACGATTTCAGTGGTTATCTCTGGCTTGTGGAATTACAGGTATTTTCTTTTTTACGTTTTACCAGATTTCAAAGTTTAATAATGAATGCATATTATTTTAGAATCAGAAAAATGTAAAAGGTTATTTTTTAAAAAAGTGTTTTGTTTTTCCCCCCCGAAACAGAGGTCACAGGGATGACTGAGGAGACAGACGCTCAATAAATGCTTGCTAATGATGCTGGGCCCAGGACCTATGGGAGGATGACACATCCGGTCCATGAACCATGTGCAAAGCAAGAAGATACTTCCCAGAAAAGAAAATGAAGATAAGTGACTGGTTCGTAGCTATAAGTGGAATAAAGCAAACCCCTCTTATTGTTACTCTTAATTTATTCTTGGTTCAGAAACAGAAGAAATCCAAGGAATGGCTTCCCGCTTAATGAGGAAAAATTAAGATCAAACCCAAACAAAGAAGTAAACATGTTCTGAGACAAATGTTCTGCAGAAAAGGAAAAGAAAAACTCTTTTATGACAAATTAACTCTGAGTATGAGGCCCAATTCTACACATAGCAGTATGTAAATAAATAAAAAACATTAAAAGTAACCACCCAGAAAAGAGAAATGAAGACAAGAAGACAAAGATGTGAGAAATGCAGAAATAAAAATCAGCTTATAAAAGAAAAAGCCAAGACTCACTGATTCACTTGCAGGTCCTCAATTTCCAGAAGAACTCCCTTTTCATGTAGTCTTGCTGCTGTATATTTCAGAGAAATCTTTTTGCTTTTCTTTCCTTTCATTTCCCTAGGCTTTTTAGAGACTCTGCAAAAAATCACATCATGTCATTTTCTAGAAGTAACCATCTACTATGAATCCTCATCATTGGCAACTGAAGGAAACAAGGTCAGAAACCAAACTTCCAGACATAAACATAGGTAACATACCAATTCTAAAACGGCAAACAAATGTTAGAATTAGCCTAAGCAATACCTCCGCAAAACAGGGAAAATATTACCAAATTGCTTCCATTTTGAGTTTAAATTATATTTGAGAACACTCCCATGAATTTAACAGTCTTAATTCTCCTATGTCCTTCTGGGAAATTAAGCACCTAAGGAGTAACTATGAGAGCTTCTGATGGGCAGCCTGAGGGAACGGTACTGAATCCCAGGAGTGAAGGAGCTATTCTAACCCCTTGGCCGTGCGGGGAAAAAATAACAATACCATCAAATAAACACTTTGTAAGAGCATTTAAGCCAGCACAGGAATTACAGATGAATGAAAACAAGGAAAAAGAAACAGGTGGGCCGGGCGCGGTGGCTCAAGCCTGTAATCCCAGCACTTTGGGAGGCCGAGGCGGGTGGATCACAAGGTCAAGAGATCGAGACCATCCTGGTCAACATGGTGAAACCCCGCCTCTACTAAAAATACAAAAAATTAGCTGGGCATGGTGGCACGTGCCTGTAATCCCAGCTACTCAGGAGGCTGAGGCAGGAGAATTGCCTGAACCCAGGAGGCGGAGGTTGCAGTGAGCCGAGATCGCGCCACTGCACTCCAGCCTGGGTAATAAGAGTGAAACTCCGTCTCAAAAAAACAGGTTAGGAGCTATTAGGATAATTTGGGCAAGAAGTGGTAACTTCAGAAATATGCCCACATTTTCAAAATGACGTATGTACAAGAGGTTATTTGCTGCAGAATTTAAAAAATAATAACAAACAACTAGAAACAAATGTTCATCAATGGAGAACTGTTTAAGCAAACTGTTCTATCTATCTGTATAATAGAATAATACGCAGCATTAAAAAAGAAATGAGAATCCAGGTCTGTCTGCTTAGAAGGCCTGGAGGCCATAACAAATCTGTCAATGAACACACCTAGCGTCTAGATCTTGGTTTCTAAATATCATTCTTCGTTCAAAGAAACCAGGGATGCTTGGAGAAACAGTTCATTCTGGGCCTGGGGAGGGGAAACTACAGCTTGAACATGAAACATCTTGTGACAGAAAGTCAGGTAGTGCACAAAGAACAATGGGAACGTGTCAAAAGCTCACAGGAGTCAGCTGTGCAAGCCGGATGAGGTGGACCTGTTTTTCATCCCTTCCCATCAGCCCTACCTGACCCCAGGGAGTCTTCCAGGAGAAAGAGAAAAACAGAGTACGTGCACGAGCCAGAGAGACGGGGAGCAGATATGGTAAAATGTTAAAAACGGATGAATCTAGGTGAAGGGCATATGGATGCTTATTGTTCTATTCATTCAGTCTTTCTGAGATTTGAAAACTGTTAAAATAAAAAGGAATAAATAAACTAACCCTACAAGAAAAATCTGCTCTTGTCACCCCACCTCTCTGGGTTTTCAGTTCCCTCCCTGTAAAATGGGCATGCTGATGGTTTGTGGCCAGTGCCAAGAAGGCTGGATCAGACTTTCCTTAGCACCCAGGAAAAAATCAGAGCCTATAATCTTGTCCCCAGAAAGTACAGAGAGGGAAAGGGGATCCAAATTTGTATAATATTCCTTAAGTGATTTGGGGATCACTAGATGATCTCCTTCCACAATTTTAATTTCTAGGACCAAGAAGATTTTCTTTTCTTTTTTTTTTTTTTTTTTTTGAGATGGAGTCTTGCTCTGTCGCCCAGGCTGGAGTCTCCCAGGTTCAGGTAATTCTCCTACCTCATCCTCCCAAGTAGCTGGGACTACAGGCACATGCCACCACACCCAGCTAATGTTTGTATTTTTAGAAGAGGTGGGCTTTCACCATGTTGACCAGGCTGGTCTTGAACTCCTGACCTCAAATGATACAGTCGCCTTGGCCTTCCAAATTGCAGGGATTATAGGTGTGAGTCACCTTTACCAGCCCCAAAAAGGTGTTTTGCAAAAGGAATACTTAACAACAAGCATCCATGAAATCCCACGCCCATTATTTACATCACATACTAACAAATAGAACTACATCATTATACAGAAAATTAGACGCAAAATAAAAGACTAATAGAGTATATAGATCCAGTGTATTTTAAGCAAAAATTTCCAATGTTATTTCAGTTGCCTCTGCTTTTTCCTCACTCTAATAATTCTTTTCCCTGACATTGATTCTTATAAAAGAAAAAATACTCACTTGCCCTTGCTGGCTAAGTTATCCAAGCAGGTTTTGATATAGCTTTTATAGTAATCCACCTGCTCGCCATAGAAGGTGGCCTTAGAGTTCAGAGCAGCGTATGTTTGCTGCAGCTTCACTAGCTCAGCCTTCCTCCTCTGTCGGTACCGCCGCTGATTCCGAATATCCTGAGGCATAATTATCAAAGTTAGAAAAACGACGACGGGCATCATGCACTTCTTGAGTCACTATCATTTCATGCCAGAAGCCAGCAGTACTTAACTCTCTCTTAACTATGACTACACCATTTGTTTTTTTGAGACAGAGCCTTGCTCTGTTACCCAGGCTGGAGTGTGCAGTGGTTGAAATCATGGCTTATTGTAGCCTTGACCTCCCAGGCTCAGGTGAGCCCCCCACCTCAGCTTCCAGAGTAGCTGAGACTTACAGGCACATGGCACCACATCTGGCTAATTAAAACAATTTCTTTTGAAGAGATGGGGTCTCAATTGATCCTTCTGCCTTGGTCTCCGAAAGTGCTGAGATTCCAGATGTGAGCCACGGTGCCTGGCTTAACTATACATTCAACAGGCAGTAATTTGTTTTCACAAATTAAGAGAAATTAAGATCTCAAATTTTCTTCCCTCATTTGTATCTTCCAGTAGGGAAATGTGTTACATTCAGACTTATACATTTTTAGAATTTACTTGCAAAGCTGGTTTGGACCTCTTAAATATTTTGTTGGGACAGGGAGAAAAAGAGAATTATAATACATCAACTACCAATTTCCAGATGTGCATAATATATTATCTCAGTGTAACAGCAGAGAATACCTAAACTCTTGGTTCTCACCAAAGCTCCTCAGCTTGAGATGATTCACATAAATCAAGGATTTTACGATCAGCTTGATGTGAATTTGTATTTCACAGTAATCGTGAAGCCAAAGACAAATTTTTTAAGGCCACAGGAGGCTCTAGTTAAGGTCTTCTGCTTAGTAATTTAGGCCATGGAATAAGCCACCTCAGGGTCAGCAAGGCCCTCATGCTGGAGAGTCAGACACGGTTTCTTAGAGAGGAGGACACTAATGTGCCATGAACTGAAGCTAAGCTGCTATCTGAGCAACTACTGTCTCTTTATGAGCCCCTCGGCTTTCAACAAGGCCAGGTCCCCTCTGTCCCCCAAATGCAGTACCCTGGCAATGTCATTGATCAGTTCCTGGTATTTGTTTTTTGGGTCCACGGTTCCAAGCTCTGTCAGCTTCTTTAAGCCTGTCTGGATTTTCTCTTTCTTCTCCTGAAGACTGAGGTTGCTGTCTTCCTTTACAGATTTGGATTTTTTCATCTTGTCAGGAGTTTTGGCATCACGAATAGCACGTCTCTGCATGGCTCTCTGATGTTCTGCTTCCTATAGATGGGAAAAAGAAGTTCTCAGCAAGTTTACCACACTAATCCTAAACTTGAATCCACACCTGAACTTATACAGTTCAAAAAAAAATCCGTTAGGCCGGGCGCGGTGGCTCACGCCTGTAATCCCAGCACTTTGGGAGGCCGACGCGGGTGGATCACGAGGTCAAGAGATCGAGACCATCCTGGTCAACATGGTGAAACCCCGTCTCTACTAAAAATACAAAAAATTAGCTGGGCATGGTGGCGCGTGCCTGTAATCCCAGCTACTCAGGAGGCTGAGGCAAGAGAATTGCCTGAACCCAGGAGGCAGAGGTTGCGGTGAGCTGAGATCGCGCCATTGCACTCCAGCCTGGGTAACAAGAGCGAAACTCCGTCTCAAAAAAAAAAAAAAAAATCCGACCTGGAAACAGAAGGAAGCAAATTCTGCCCCCTAAGTGCTAGATGAGAAACTGCATGAAGCAGAGGCTTCTCTTCTACCTGTGAGAGACGATATCTACACAATCACACAACTGCTGAGGGGTTCTCTCCTGGACTCCAAGTACAACTGTGAGACTGGACGCTACTGGCTACAAAGTCATTTTTCTCTACCGCATTTTGAGACATGGAAGCCATTTAATTTTATTCAGAACTTAGCTGCATAAATGTTATAACTATACTAATACAACAAGACCCGTGCTTAGTAAATCCTTGATAATTCTTTCTGTCACTTTGTCCAGGTGGAATCATGCTCGAGCCTGGCATCCGCTGTCAAACATGCTGTATATGCCACATTGCAATAGGGAAACACCTTCCCTGACACTGCCATCCTTCATAGTGGCCATCCAATGTCTGTCCAACATATGATCTACACTCGCTGTTCTATTCTTTCAGCACTTTCTTTCTTGTTTCTTTTTCTTTTTTTTTCTGAGACAGAGTCTCGCTCTGTTGCCCAGGCTGGAGTGCAACGGCGCGATCTTGGCTCACTGCAACCTCTGCCTCCCAGGTTCACGTGATTCTCCCTGCCTCAGCCTCCTGAGTAGCTGGGATTACAGGTGCCCACCACCACGCCCGGCTAATTTTTGTATTTTTAGTTGAGACGGGGTTTCACCATGTTGGCCATGCTGGTCTTGAACTCCTGACCCCAGGTGATCCCCCCACCTCAGCCTCCTTCAGTGCTAGGATGACTAGTGCCCAGCCTCCGCACTGCTCTCATCACCAATCCCCATTCTCCCATTGAAAATCCAGCGTTTTTTCTTAGTTGTTACCTTGCTCACCCTCTCGCTCTCCACATGGTTTGGTACTTCCAAGTGACCTGTGGCCATTTCTTTCTAACCGTTTACTCTCAATACTTCGGTGACTGCCTCTGTGTTGACAGATCCCAAATCTTTGTGACTATGGCTCTGGTGCCATATTCTGAACTGTTTGTACTCAGATGTTTACATTCAGGATGGCCTATAGTTCCAACTTGTAATTCCCCAAGTGGGACAATTCCCTTTCCCAATATTTCCCTTTTTTTTTTTTTTAATGTCACGACTACTCTGCATCACATAATGTAAGGAGCATAAGCTTTGGAGGCAGACAGAATAGGATCCAACTCTGGTTCTGTCACTACAAGCTGATGATCTTGGTCAGTTAACCTGTAAGGGTCTTAGTTTCCTCATCCATAAAATAAGGATGAAAAGACTCAACTCAAAGGAATACTGCAAGGATTAAATGAAAGAACAGAGGGGAAAGCACCAGACGAATACTAGGTTCTCAATAAAGACTGGCTCCTCCTTTCTTACTTCAAACTTCTTTGCAGGTCCAACATGTTTCAAGTATTGTTTTATGTATTTATTTATTTATTTATTTATTGAGACAGAGTTTCGCTCTTGTTACCCAGGCTGGAGTGCAATGGCGCGATCTCGGCTCACTGCAACCTCCACCTCCTGGGTTCAGGCAATTCTCCTGCCTCAGCCTCCTGAGTCGCTGGGATTACAGGCACGTGCCACCATGCCCAGCTAATGTTTTGTAGTTTTAGTAGAGACGGGGTTTCACCATGTTGACCAGGATGGTCTCGATCTCTTGACCTCGTGATCCACCCGCCTCGGCCTCCCAAAGTGCTGGGATTACAGGCTTGAGCCACCGCGCCCGGCCAAGTATTGTTTTATATGTCCTTACTTGCCTTTCACACATATCTAATCGGTAATCAGTCATAGCAACTGAGAGCTGAGAATTCATTTAAAACAATGGTTTCCAAACAGCTCTCTGTGCAGCCTTAAGGGTATGCTGGAGGTACCACAGTATCCTATAGGGCTGGATTTCAGAGGCCCTATTCCTAGCTATCAGAGTAGCTTCAGAGTGGCAGAGTACCTGCTTTATATACTTGGCTTCTAGGTAAGTTGTCACGTAATAAAACATTACCATGCTTAAATTTTGAAAATGAATGACTTGACCTACTTTCCTTATTTGACAACTAAGAAACAGAGGTCTTTGGCCAGGTGCAGCGGCTCATGCCTGTCACCCCAGCACTTTGAGAGGCCTAGGTAGGGAGGTCACTTGAGGTCAATGAGATCAGCCTGGCCAACATGATGAAACCCCAACTCTAATAAAAATATAAACATTAGCCAGGTGTGGTGGTGACACGAGCCTGTAGTCCAGCTACTCAGGAGGCTGAGGCAGGAAAATCACTTGCACCCAGGAGGCAAAGGTTGCAGAGAGCCAAAATCACGACACTGCAGTCCAGCCTAGGTGACAAAGTGAGACTCTGTCTCAAGCTAAAAAAAAAAACAAAAAAAAAAACAAAGAAACAAAGGTCTTAGATAGGACCTGACTCATCCAACCCTTCACAATGCCAGCTCCCGACCCCCATCCGCCCACCCCGCTGGACCTTAACACACACCTAGAAGACTCAGCTACCATCTGCTCTGATAGTACTGCTGAATTAATTAACATTAAATGGTCTTGGACCTGATAGAGGCTCTTTATTCCTTATCTCTGCAGTGCCAAATTCCCATCTAGCTTGTGAGTTCTCAATAATTTGGTCTCATGTTTTCTCTCACTGCTCGCCTCCACCTACAGCTCCATTCTAGACACGGGGTCTGGTTACATCACGTTCCTCCCTCCTCTGTTCCTCTGCTCACGTCGTTCTCCTGCCTTGAGTGCCCTCTCTTGTCTTACATGCACACCGCTGGGTGCATACCTTTACACGTCTGGCTCCACTTCCACTTCTTTTAGGCAGCTTTCCTAATGCACTGCTTCACTGGCCTCTTTCCTGAACTGCTATCATTCTTTTAGTCAATATCATAGTTAATTTTGAATGGTTTCATCACTGCCTCAGGTATATATGTCACACTTCCCTAACAAGATCATGAGTTTACTGAGCTTAGGAGCTGCATTCTGTACTTTTCTTTTACCTACCAAGGCACTTAACAGAATTCCAACCATATAATATTCAATAAACTGCAAAAGAAATCCCTACACATTCATGGTTTCAATCAACCCTGGATCAAAAAACTACTTGAAACAAAAATAACCACAATAAAAAATCATACAAAATTTAAAAATACAGTAACAACTATTTACTTTGCATTTATACTGCAGTAGGTATTATAAGTAGTTTAGAGATGATTTAAAGTATATGGGAGAATGTGTGTGAGTTATATGCAAATACTACACCACTTTATAGAAGGGACTTGAACATCTATGGATTTTGGTTTTGGCCGGGGGTGGAGAGGTGGGCGGAATGGGTGCTGGAATGAATCCCCTGTAGATACCAAGGGACAGATATACCAGATGGACGCACTGGTTCTGCAGGCAAGTGCCAGTGAGCTTCCTGCCCAAAGGACATCGCCCCCTGGACGCAGGAACTAATAACTTTTCACATGAGCCGTAACTACCGCTGTCCCCCGGTTTCGTTCACGCTCACCCCTAAATTCCCACCTCTTATTTGTGTCTCCCCTCCTTTCTCTGACATGCGCCTATCGGGAGGGCTTATCTACCAAACAAAGGAGTATGTTAAACCCTGAATGTTACCTGTTCACTGGTGGCTGGTGTTTCTAGGATTTCTGTCAAGGTCTCTCCTGGCTGGAACCGGATGACATCCACAATTAAACGTTTTGTACTGAAAAGAGATGGGGGAAGCATTTAAATATTACCAGTGTTCTAGCTCCTCTCAAGTGGACCGAATCAGCAGCAGCACAAACAGCACCTCATGGAAGTCCCAAGTGGCAGCTGCCAGCACACAGTACTCAAGGCACTAGGCTATTTACCCAACCAGAAGTAGGTATGAGGGTTAGGCTTTCCAAGATTGACATTTCGTTGTAGCATATTAGCAAAGTAAGGCAGGTAAGTCCTGTGCCAAGTTCAATATGCAAGGTGACTGGTGACTGGGATTATGACAAGTATGAGAGGCAGTGTGGTCATTTCAGGTATGACCCAGCAGGTTCCTGCTCCAAAGGCCAGGAAACATTTGGATTACATCCATTTCATTCTTCCTGCTTTTGATACTCACTTCAGTAAGATGGTTCGAGCATCCATTTCTGCATTCTCATCTCCAGGCACATCAAATTTGTTGGTCAGGGTGAGAGATACTTCTGTCTTAGCCAGTGCCTCCTTATTTGGATCACTTAAATTGCCAGAGCTTTCCCCTGAAGTTTTGGGAGGGTGGAAAGAATCAGCATAATAAAGAGAGGAGATATTGGGGGGAAATAATACATATAAAAGACGATGCACGTCTAAGATAATACCTGAATCAGCTAACACGTACAGTGTGGCGAGAACAACTTTTACTGAGAAACAAAATGTTGTTATGTTAAATGATAACGGCAAAGGATCCATAATAACTTCATAAACGTTTGAGAAATCGTTTCAACACTACAATATCGCAATTCTCTCTCAAAACATTCTTTCTGGATGGGTGCAGTGGCTTGGGCCTGTAATCCCAGCACTTTGGAAGGCTGAAGGAAGAGGATCGCTTGGGGCCAGGTGTTTGGGACCAGCCTGGGCAACATAGCGAGACCCCATCTCTATTTAAAAAACAAAAACAAAACCACAAAACTCAGGAGGATCACTTGAGCCCACAGATTTGAGGCTGGAGTGAGCAATGACTGCACCACTGCACTCCAGTCTGGGCAACAGAGGGAGACCCTGTCTCATAACAAACCACATCTTTCCTTTAAAGGACTTGTAGCTTATAATTATGTAATTATTTGTGTATCTGCAATTTTTTTAAAAAGCGCAAATGGCAGATGTATCTGCACAGAAAATGATCTCTTCCTCTGACTCCGGTTCCTCACAGACAGTGACCGCATCTGGACTCTCTTTGTTGTTTTGTTTTGTCTCATATGAAACTATCAGAATCACATCCATTTTATTTCCCAACGTATATCCAGAGTTTGGTACAGTGCAGAAAACAGAGAAGACAGCAACTGCAACACTTCTGTCATGTTCCCCTTTCACCTTCCAGGCAGAAGTCAGAATGTTACCTATCAGGGACTCGATGGTGGGCACCTCTCCGAGGTCGTCCAGCAGCTCGTGGATTGGATCATTGTGCTCTGGAGCAATGGCATCCTGGTGATCTAACAGGAGCTGCAAACACCAACGATCAACTCCATTTACACATTCAACTCTCCAGCCCATCCCTCCCCAGAATGCCTAAAAATGATTTGCACAAAGAGGTTACAACAAAGTTCCTATATTCAAAGAACCAACAAGCACATCCTCAGCAAACTAACCCAAATAAACAATGTAACATAAAGCACCACATTGGGCTCTGCTGAATGACATATGTTACGATATAAGAAGAGGAAGGCTGGGCGCGGTGGCTCAAGCCTGTAATCCCAGCACTGTGGGAGGCCGAGGCGGGTGGATCACGAGGTCAAGAGATCGAGACCATCCTGGTCAACATGGGGAAACCCCGTCTCTACTAAAAATACAAAAAATTAGCTGGGCATGATGGCGCGTGCCTGTAATCCCAGTGACTCAGGAGGCTGGGGCAGGAGAATTGCCTGAACCCGGGAGGCGGAGGTTGCGGTGAGCCGAGATCGCGCCATTGCACTCCAGCCT